AATCCAGAAGACACTTTAGAAGGCCCCGCTGTTCCCCCTTTCTGCACCATCAGACCAGAACTATCATTTGATGTGAGCTTACTCTCTTCTTTACCAAAACTAGGTCTGGCAGAATCAACCAAATGAGCAAACTTAGGTGACAATGGGATGGTTGCACCAATGCCAATTACCATTTGATGTGTTGCCAGAGATGTCAAAAATGTGGTCAGTTAGAAATATGTCCCTCGGATCGCTCATTCTCATTTGAGATGATACTCTCACAAACAGATGAATCATCAGACGATTCATTAACACCAGTGGAAGCAGAGAATCCAGAAAAAGAGTGGCATGATAATTCAGAATTAGAGTCTACAATGTTCTCCTCTACAAGAGAATCAACTTTTGCCGTATCATTCCCTTCACATGAGGTTTTAGAACGTTTTATATCTGACAATGGGGGTTTCGAGACTTTTGCAACCTCTGCGCTTTCAATCCGAGAGCTTCTCGTCATTGATTCCACTATAGTCCGGCTCGGCTACCTTCTTTTTAACATCTGCTTACCAAATCATCAGTTGTGGCGAGCTTCGCTGGGAGGATGGCAGTTGTCTTTGTGACCCTTGATGCCAATGTGGAATTTGGCACTTACCAGAACTGAAATGCAAGAGAATAACGGTATTAAACTAGGACTTTCTAATTTTTTTTAGAAGTTACAAAGATAGAAAAGTTGCAGAGAAAAGCAATGGAAACTGGAAACTCAATAATATGAATTGAAGTGTCACTGCCAGTCAAAATCAATAACAAATTATGCAAGAAAACAAAACCCTACCACTAACAGACGATCTATATTACAAAAACAGGCCACAACTCACTAATAGGAAAATCAAGGAATTGTATTACAGTGCCAAAACATGAGAATAAAAATCTAAAGAGACCTATTTTTGAGAGTTCTATTTCTATACAAAACAAAAGACAATTCCAACCACAGTTCTATGAGCAAAGGAAAAGTTACAACATAATTACACTAAACTACACTAACAATATCATTGAAGGCCAGTTGATTTTTGAACATGCTTGAAATTCGAATTGGCTAGGCCTGTGGGTTATTGGGTGGCTTTCAAGTGATGAGAGAGCTTGCCATGGAGAATGTTATTTTTGAGATGGATTCAAAGTTCAGGATGATGGACTGAAGCACGTGTGTGAGGATGCTACAAAAAGTAGGGCCACATCAAGGAGTGTAGGGGGTAAAGGTATATGGCAAGGAGATTCAATGTTACCTTCTTTTTTTTTCTATTCATGGATAAACATCAAGGAGCGTAGGGGGTAAAGGTATATATGGCAAGGAGATTCAATGTTACCTTTTTTTTCTATTCATGGATGGATAAAACATACTCAACCTGCTATGCTCAGATTTATGGAATGGAAAAATCAGGGCAACATCAAGGAGTGTATGGAGGTTACTTTCTTTTTCTTGTTTCAACTCTCATGTGGAATTTACTAGGAGGCCAGCCAACACTGCTGCTCATTACTTAACCAAAGACGGCCTTTACTAATGTATGCACTCATTTTACAATGATATTCATATCTCTAAGTTACAAGGAGGCAAGCCAACACTGCTGCTCATTACTTAACAAAGGTGGCCGAGTACTAATGTATGCCACTCATTTTACAATGATAGCCATATCTCTAAGTTAATAAATTTATGTGTTTCTACTTTACCCCAATGCCATTGAGCTATAGGTGAAAAAATTTATTAACATGTAAGGTGATAAGTTCAAATCCAAATAGTACTACACCACCACCACCAATGTCGGTCGACATATGTAGTACTCTTAGCACCATTAAGGAACAAAAATCCAAGTTCCAACATAACCATAACGGACATTTTCCCAAAACAAAACAAAAAGACATAAAGTACATAAATTTCCACACAAGGAATAATATCTATCAATACAAAAATTTCAACTCATTCAACTCGTTGGTAAAATCCAAACCGACAAATATAGACAAAGACTGACAATGATGTTCAATTTTTAAGTTTTATTTCTTTGGGTTGAATGCCATTATCATGAAACCTGTTTGTGGTAATCAGATCACAACAGTTTTGCACCACATATTGTTACCAAACTATAAAATTGGAGCAAATGAGAAAAGTATATTCTATGGTATCCAAAATTTAAACCCTGAAAACTAACATAACCATTATCTTTCTAATTATTGTTGATTACAAAAAATTACCTAGAGATATACAAAAAATTTGTGAAATGAAGCCCATGTGAGAGGATGCTACAAAAATCAGGGGCCACATCAAGGAGTGTAAGGGGGTTACTTTGTTTTTCTTGTTCATGTGAAATTTACTAGGGGGCAAGCCAACCCTGCTCATTACTTAACAAAGGCAGCCACTACTAATATTTGCACTCATTTTACAATGAATCTATTGATCCTTTGATATTTAATGAAATGTATTATAGATATTTTAAGTAAAAAAAGTAAAACTGTTCTCTAAATTGAACATCATCACAGTCAGATTCAAACTAAAAGGGGCCAGAGGAATTCAAACCAAGACTCCACAAAAACAACACCTAAACCAAGAAATCAAAAGGTAAACACCATAAAAACTTGTAGAACCTATGACCTCAAAATTAAAAACCCTTAATTTAGTAAAACAAGCAACAATGGAAGCCAAGAACTTACCAATAATAAACAGCTTTTGCACCTTGCACATCGGTTAGTGGTGGGAGAGAAACACACTACACATTGACTGCTGCTTGGCAACCGAAACATCTCCGTTTCGATTCGAATTCGGATTCAAAGCTGAAACGGCACCGTTTGGATACGAATTTGCAGGCAACGTACTGATACGAATTGGAATTTGCAGCAACGTACTGATACGAATTGGAATTGGCATCATCGTAATGATACGAAGCTGCCGCCTCACGCTCCGCTCTAGCAGACTCCTCCGCCGCGAGAATCAACAGCCTCTTAATCTCCCCCGCCCTCTCCTCCGACCGCCGCCACGTATAACGTACAACCAAACCAATCACCGGAAAAACCACACAAACTAAAACAACGAAGAGCAGAGAATAAAACCCTAGATCCACTGTAACACGCATTTATCCAGTAAAAAGTAACAAAAAAAGTATAATCCGCCGTAATACGGCGGCGACGGTGACGATCACGGTAGGGATTAGTCGGAAACTTAACGGAATCGAAGAATCGTGTTAGATTACCAAAGAAGTGGAAGTTTGAAGATGAAAGTGAGATATGCATGTGAATCGTGTGTAGCTCTCATACACACGTGCGAATTTTAAAAAAATGAATAAGAGAGAGTGTTTAGAATTAGAATTACGACGAAGAAGAGGGTGAAATTGAAAACACTTTGATGAGAATTTGAAACGACACTATTGGGTTATTCTTGCGGTTGCGTTGGAAAAGGGAGAGAAAAAATGAAACTTTAGGTTTTTTTTATTTTGGACTATGGAACGTGTTTTTACTGATTTATTTTGTTTAACCGATATTTTTGGAATTAATTGTTAGAGCGAGAGAGAAACGAGTGGACCGCACACGGTAATAAATAAAAATAATAAATATTTAATTTATTGTGAATAAAGAAAGGGGGTTGTTACGGAATTTAAGAAATTGATGATGGAAGGAAAAGAATTTTGATTTCCCTGTGAAAGAATTGTCTGATATTCCGGATTACTTCGGGAGTTTAGAATCAAGTTCTGGGTCCCCTTTGCACGTATCGTGAGAATTTATAAAAATTACTGTCATTGATTATTGGATTTTAAAGAATTTTCTTACTTCAATTGAATCTATTTTTAATTTATGATATTTTTATATAAAATCTTTTATCAATCTTTTTCTTTAGAAATCTTAAGTGTTTATGTTAAACATTTTAAAAAATATTTTCGACAATATAGCTATCAGAATATAATTATTTTGTATATGATTCAAATTTTAAAATATTTTTTTATCCTCAAAAATATTATTTATATAATTTTTCTATTGTTGTTTTAATGCATAAAGAGAATGAATTTTATATTTTTATAGAAATAACATCTGCAATTTCTCATTACTATTTATATTTTTTTTTTTATAATTTTAAATAAAACAAATTTTATAATTATTTTTTGAAATTTTAAATTTCTACTAAACACATACCTACGAAAATTTCAATAAAGGATTCTACCCACATCAAGAAAATTATCGATGATAGGTTTTCTGCAATTTCATCGCCTAAATTTTATTCCTCTCCTTTTCTACGAAGAATTCTCTGGTATTTATTTCATGGATATGCCTTGGCTTGAATTTGGGAAAAGCTCCTGCTCAGACACCAAATGCTACAATTCAGCCTATAGCTCCCAAAAAAACTTTTGCACAAGCGGTTCATAATGTTTGTGATATCCCCCACAATCAGCTATCTCAATCGGTTGTGAAAGGTGATAGAATAGCCATAATTATCCCTGAAGATGAATATCTAGCAGGTTTGGAATCGTGCAAGCTAAATCTTCATGGCAGGATCATTTGGCCTAAAGGTGCTACTCCTTTGAAAGTCAATGCCTTAAGGCTAAAGTTATCTTCCTTGTGGAATTTCTTGGGCAAATGGAGCCTCATCTCGCTAGGGAAAGGTTTCTTTGAGGTTTCATTTTCTAGCATAGAAGATTTACAAAGAGTTCGTTCCATAAACTTTTGGAAATTTAAGCTCAGGATTGCTGAAACTCTTCGCCTGGATGAAAGATTTCAATCCCAACATTCAACATTATACTTCTGCCCAGATTTAGATCAGAATTTCTAGACTCTCACGGGAGTATTGGCGATCGAAGATTATTTATTCCATTACAAGTGTGATGGGTAGTCTAATCTGTATGGATGATACAACTACAAAATCATTTTTTGAAAGATCTTTTGGTCACTTTGCTCGTGTGCTTGTTGACTCAGACTTGACTGGAAAACTAAGGAAATAACCATACTTGTGGAAAGATTCAAATTTGCTTTCTTTGTGGATGTCACATATGAAAAACATCATGTATTTCTGCGACAAGTGTTGTATCATAGGCCACAATATTAGTAAGTGAAGGAAATCAAAGCTTGATTCAGACAGAACTACACATAAGATTGAAAGGAAAAAAAGTTTTTGTGGAGAAAACAATCTATTGATAACCAAAGCAATCTTCCAAACCATGCACCTTCTTTAAGGACTGCTTTTTCCTCTAAGCATAATTTTGAGATGTTAGGAAGACAATAGATAAGCTCTCCTCAATTTCAACCTCATGAGGATTATGCTTCACCTCAAAACCCAAATGTTGATAGATCAGACCAACTAGTTTGCCTGCAAATCAAAATTTAATCGCTAAAGATGCACTGTTAGTTTCCAATAACGCTGCTCAAATTCCAGACAATCCGTCTAAGGCTACACAGGACTTGTCTGCATATCAAATTATCCCTGCTAATCAGATTATTCAAGATGGTCAATTAATTATTTATGAGACTTAAAGCTCTGATGGCTCAGAATATGTTGAGGCTACACCAAATGAACTAGTGACAGAAGTTGACCCTCCTCTTGTAAATGTACAAAAGATATGGATTTTCCCAAGCAATCTTGGGCAAATATGACTGAAGAACCAAGGGACACAAGTGAATTTCAGGTAGTAGTTTTCAAACAATGAAAAAGGATAAAATTTGTTCAAAAATCTAGTAAGACTGGACCAAGCACCAGAGCCAAGTCTGTTTTCTGTGAATGCATTTGCCTTTTAGATGTTTTGCATAATGTCAAAATTAGAATTGATTTAGTTTTTCTGTACATTGAATGGTATCTCTGAGTATTTGTATGCATCCTGACATTTGGAATCTTAAAAAGCATCTAGAACAAGTTTGAAGAATGGTTGGTATTTGGTAACATGCATTAAAAAGCAGATTTTGCACAAAAATTATTGCATGTGTCGACACATCTGTGTTTCGTGTCGGTACATGTACTGCTATTTTAAAAGCTTGTAAGTTTATGTTTGTATGTGTCGGCTCATCCTTCCTTTTGTGTTGGAACATGTGTTATCTTTTTAAATTCAAAAGGTATTTGTTTACATGTGTTGACTCATTTGCTTATATATGTCGACATGTGTTATTACATGTGCCGGCACATGACTTACATGTGTCGACACATACTGAAGCCAAAACTCAAAAGTCAGTTTTCTTGCCAAGTTTCTAGGTTTTTCTTTTTACCTCTAAGTCTCACACATATATATACTTCATGCATGCATTTTTTTTCATTTTATGAAATTATAAACACTTACTTGATTGCTCTTCATCTTCAACTATGACCTTATGCATACACACAAACTAAGTACGCATAATCATTCATAGTTAGGGTGTCATCTAGACTCAATTGATAATGTTGATTTAGGTTGGTTGTAACCTAAGATTGGGTTGAAAATCAAGGGGTTTTCATCGAAAAAAATGTGAGAGTTTTTACCTTAAGATCAAGTGGTGATTTGAGGTTTTTTGAAAATATTATTCAAATATTGGATTCGACCGAGTGAAGACCTTGAAGAACAGGTGGTTCTTGCAAGCCTAGTAGCGCGAGACGGTGAATCGTTTGGTAATCTTGGGTAACAATAATTTGAAATTCTTGATTCGGCCGAGTGTACTCTTTGAGAATGGGGATTCTTGCAAATTAGTAGAATGAGACGATGGATCGAATTATTTTGTTGGGTGGCTTGATCTAACTCCGATCAAGCTTAGATAATTTTGTTAGATCATCATTAACCATAGGGTTTGTAGGATTGGATTACAACATTTCTCTTGTAAACGAATCTTTTGCAATAGTAAGAAATTTATCTCAATTCTAAAACGAAATTAGGGGAGACATAGCCATAGAGAGGACGACTGATGAACTTTCTAAACAAATCCTTGTGTTGTTCTCTCTCTCTCTCTCTCGCTCTCTCTCTCTCTCTCTCTCTCTCTCTCTCTCTCTCCTCTCTCTCTCTCTCTCTCTCTCTCCTCTCTCTCTCTCTCTCTCTCTCTCTTCTCGCTCTCTCTCTCTCTCTCTCTCTCTCTCTCTCTCGTCTCTCTCTCTCTCTCTCTCTCTCTCTCTCTCTCTGTGTGTGTGTGTGTGTGTGTGTCGCCTTTTATATCTTTAAAATCTTCATTAGCAATTTATTAAACGTTTGATTGTGCAAATTGATTAGAATAGAAATATCTTTTGATCGGTTAATTGCTTTATTGATAATATTATAACTCATTTGATTGTAAGAGGTTTTAATACCAATAAAGTTCAAAAGAAAATCTAAAAAATTAAAGTGCATACTAAGTGTTTGATAAATTGTCTTAATAAGCTTTACCTTTAATTTCATTGGAAATTGGTTACTTGATTGTTGTAATCAACCAATAGACTAAGAATTTGTTGTTTTACTTTCCTATCATCATTACTCATTTAGAATTGATTGAACGCATATTCGAGCTTCAATAATCGGTTTCGTTTTGGATGACTTGCAATCTAGGACACGACTTCTACTAGTCATTACTTATCCTTGTTTTAAAAACAGTTTTGAAACTCAATTTTAATTGGGGGTCTGTTTCACCCTCTCTAGATAAGTTGTCATTGTCTAACAAGTGGCATCAAGATCCCGGTTCATTCTGTATGCTTCAAATACGATTATTATAAAATGGTGAACAAACCTAAAGGGGCGTACGATAGAGTGCCTGTTTTTACTGGGGGAAAATTATGGTTATTGGAAGACTTGTATGCGCATTCATATCAATTCCTACGATAAAGGTGTATGGGATGTTGTAACGCCCGTAATTTAATTAATTATTTAATTAAATTATTTTGGAATAATTGTGAAGGAAGTGTTATTAAATTGGATTTATTTTATTAAATAGAGAAATAATAATATATTTGAGGTGTGATTGGTGGGAATGAGAACTGACTGTTTTTTAATACTGGTTCGCGTTTGCGTTTGTTTTCGCAATGTGTTGCGGTAAGCAAGAGTCGCCACCTTCTTTTATTTTATCCAACAAGGAAAGGACAAAAGCACAGAAAAATTCCTTTTCGAGATTGTTTCTCGGGTTCGGAAGGTAGATTATAGAAAGGAAAGGTGTTAGCACTCTTTCTATC